CATCGTGACCTCAAACCTGACAACGTCTTCATCGATATGGCTAAGGTGCCTAAGATTGGTGACTTTGGACTAGCCACCAGTGGCCAGTATCAGAGACCTGATACAAAGTCCCCCAACGGTACCCAGGATGGCGGCGACATGACGCGGAGTGTCGGTACCGCGCTTTACGTTGCTCCTGAGCTCAGCTCGACCGTTATCGGCGACTACAACAACAAGGTGGACATGTACTCCATGGGCATCATCTTCTTCGAGATGTGTTTTCCTCTAAGGACTGCCATGGAGCGCGACAAAGTCATTCGATCGTTGCGGGAGCGGAAACATGATCTTCCACAAGAGTTTGAGACACCGGAAAAGTCGTTGCAGGGTAGCATCATCAAGTCACTCATCAGCCATCGCCCTTCAGAGAGACCTGGATGTACGGAGCTTCTGAGAAGCGGCAAGGTGCCTGCTCAGATGGAGGACGAGGCCGTCAAAGAAGCGCTCAAGGCCCTCTCGGATCGAAACTCACCACACTACGCAAAGATGATGGCTGCTCTTTTCTCACAAAAGCCCGATACGCAAGCAAAAGACCATGCTTGGGATCTGAGCGCGACCACTCAGAAGATCAAGGCCAATGATGTGCTTCTACAGAATCTCGTGAGGGACAGATTGGCCATGGTCTTTCGGAGCCATGGCGCTGTAGAGATACAACGTCAAGTTCTACTACCCTGGTCCGACCACTATGCGGACACGAAAGTTGTCAAGCTTTTCGATCCCTCTGGAACCCTGGTGCAGCTACCTTACGACTTGACATTGCCGTATGCACGTAGTATTGGTAGAGGTGGAGCGTTTCTGGAGAAGACTTTTACGATTGGTCATGTCTATCGTGACGACTACACCGGAAGTGCTCCACGTAGTAACGGCGAGGCAGACTTTGATATATTGTCATACGATACGCTTGACCTTACTTTGAAGGAGGCAGAGGTTCTCAAGGTCGTTGATGAGATCATCGATGAGTTTCCTTCATTTCGATCAACGCAGATGTGCTTCCATCTGAATCACGCCGACCTGTTAGATATGATCATGGAATTCTGCAGGATAAGTGTTCCAAAGCGCGCGGCGGTCAAGGCAGTTCTTAGTAAGCTGAATATCGGAAAGAACAACTGGCAGTTGATTCGCAACGAATTACGGTCCTCCGATATAGGTATTCCATCGACATCCTTAGATGATCTGGCGCGCTTCGATTGGCGCGATACCCCAGAAAAGGCTTTTGCGAAGCTGCGGCGACTCTTCGAGGGCACCAAGTGCCTTGATCGGACTCACGTCGTCTTTGCACACCTAACTTCTGTTATCAATTACATGAAGTTGTGGGGCGTGAAGCGCAAGGTCTACATCAGTGTACTGAGCAGCTTCAATGAGAAGTTCTATTCCGGTGGCATCCTCTTCCAATGTCTGTTCGACACAAAGCAGAGGGAAGTGCTTGCTGCAGGTGGCCGGTACGATAAGCTGATCGAAGAATACTGCCCGAGAGGCTCGAGTCATGCACATCCAGCGGCTGCTTACCACGCTGTTGGTGTAAACTTGGGGTGGGACAGACTCGTCAACTCCATGAGCCGATACATCAAGAAGCCTGAGAAGTCAACGTTCTTGCGGAAGCACGCTGAAGAAGATACGCCATCCATCTCTTGGATGCCACGACGCTGTGACTGTCTAGTCGCTAGCTTCGATCCGAACGTCCTCCGTTCCACTGGCATCAAGATGGTAGCAGACCTCATCGCCCATGGCTATACCGCCGAACTCGCCGTCGATGCGCACTCCATCGAAGACATTTTACGTCACTATCGCGAAGACAGACATAGCTGGGTGATCGTGATCAAACACGGCGTCGCCCCTGACAAGCCGGAGCTCAAGGTCAAATCCATCGCAAAGAAAGAAGACACAGATTTGCGCAGCACCGATCTTTTGAACTACCTGCGCAACGAGCTCCGAGACCGCGAAGAACGCGAAGGAAGCGCAGCCCGCCTCATCAAGGCTCCGCCACCAACCTCAAGCAACACTTCCAACGCGTCAAAAGCGAACGTCGACGTCCTTATCGCCCAACATCGATCTAAGAAGAGCAACAAGTGGTCTATTGTCGAAGCCGCACAATCGCGATCGACAGATTTACTTTCCGCGTTCCAATCCGCACCCATCGCTGCTATCGAGTCAAAGGAAGAGGTCATGAACTTGCTCAAGGAGACGCGTCTCAGCGATCCAGACTCGTGGCGTTACTTTATACAAAAGATGCCGCTTGCTGAGAGGAAATATCTGCAAGAGCTGCACGACTTACTGCTGGGTTACAGAGCGAAGTGGGTAGAGAACAAGGGCGAAGGTGGAACAAATAGAGAAGGAGCTGTAGGAAAGGCTTTCGTGTACAACTTCAGGACTGGAGGGTGCTTGCTGTATGATTTGGAGAGTTGATGACGACACACAGATGGTTGGGAATCCTTAAGGCGAAGCACCGGCAGACAGGCAGTGTAGTCACCAATTGAGAGATATCCCCTCTTGTTACATAGTCTTCTCTTTCGCCGGCGGTACAGCAGTCCATCAGTGAGTACTCTCTACTGGTTATAGTATACACAGCTCCCTTGATTAAATCGCCAGTATTTCCAGAGCACCATTTCCGCTGCCTATATATATATCAAATACCTAGACGATAACTAGGCGATACGTTTAGTAGTCGTATATAGGCAGCGGGTACGTAAAGACGACGTCGAGTTTGCATATATTGCTGTCGAAGAAGCAGGTTGACTGGCAGCACGTGATATTCTAATAAGAAATCGACTGTACGAAGATATGATCATCCATAGACAAATATCTGCAAGTATGTTCTACTTAAGGCGGGAGGACTAAGAGTAAAGGCACGGGCATGTAGTGCGGCCCGTCGATGATAATCTACAGATGCGGGGTTACATCCTGCAAATGGTGCGAGACTTGCTTTTCGCCTGCCTGAGTAAGCTGCGTGATGACGTCGGTGATGCCAGTCCTCCTGGTCAAACTGCAGTGACGCAGATGGCTGCCAGGCAACGAGGCGCAGCGCGCGCCATACATAACGGATCTATACCCGACTTGGTTTAGCTGAAGGCTGTCCCTCATTCTCTCCACATACAATGAAATAGATCAGTCCTAAGCATCTGAAGCACCTCTTCCCAGAACGAAGGCCATCAGTGGTGCCTAGCACAATCTCATTGTCCTTTTCGGGGGTCAGGCTAGCGCAGTGGTCAGCAATGCCTCGATGGAAGAATGACGGCGCTTCTCCTGTCAAGCCCACCCTTCGCCCGCTTAGCTGCGATAAAGCGATCCATACCATGTAGGTCTTAGATTACCGCCGCCCTAGCGTTGAAGAATTATGTTCTGAGTTTCACAGATTGATAGCAGTGCCCGGAGTAGGTACCAAACCACCAGACGAGTGGACTGACAAGGCTGGGAACCTCTGGTTATCGGGGATCGACGCTCCTGGGATTGCTTTATATGCATACGACCATAATATCACTAATTCTGATCCCAATCTATGGATGCGCTTTTCCGATTTAGGACAAGATCTCCTGCTGCTCATCTTGACTCTGCTTGAGGACGGCCTTGTAAGTAACCCAAGAAACCTCATCGGGCGCTGGACCAGGTCAATTTAACTTTTGGAACTTCAGATTTGCCCTGTACTCTTCGTGGGACACAGTCTCGGGGGCATCATTGTCAAAGAGGTACTGTTTCCGGCGCTACATAGATTCTGTAGCTCCCTATCTTGCTGATAAGAATTAGACGCTCCGTCATGCCTCTGAACGTACCACGTTAGCTTGTGATCTGTTCAGAAACAACCTAGCGGGCGCCATACTCATGGGAACCCCTCATTCCGTGTCCGAGGAACAGAGCAAATGGAGAGACATCGCGTGGCTCCCTTATTTGAACACTCCGCGACTGATGAAACCACCGATTGACCAGGGATGTATCAGAGAACTGGCTGCACGTTGCTCTTCATTTGAACAAGGGGGGGTGACATGCTCAATTCTTACGATATTTGAAGAGCGTGCCACAAAACTGCGCACATGGCCTCGCTTCAAACAAATTAAGGTATGTTTTTGGATCACGGATACTACATGGTGTTCTTGTCACATTCACTGTACTGACAGATTAGTTCGTGGACAGACAGCTCGTATGGACAAATAGCCGTGAGGAGTCTATCGTTGGGATTGACTCTGATCATCGAGATCTTTGTAATGGCTCTGATAATCCATTGGTGCTCAAGTTCATTAGAAGTGCACTTGTAAACGCGCGACTTCGTATCTCATCGAAACCTAATGATCCTGGTGAGTACAATTTTGCACCATCCCAAGGTGTAGCAACTTGCGTTTCCTTTCGAAGCTTCCCTCTAACGCTTGACAGAGTGGTGTCTCGAACGCGAAGAGCTCAATGAGTATGCCTACGAGTTAGTCGGATCTAGTACGGATCCGACCAATTCAGTACGTGCAATCAGTATGTCTATCACTTCTACGCCAGCCATCATTCCTACTATCACTAGTCTTGAGACTGGTAGACAATTTCTCGTCCCAATTCCCCGCAACCCCTTGTTCTTTGGTCGACAAGCCCAGTTGGACAGTTTAGACTCCTATTTCCTGGCGCCGGCCTCGTCACCCCCCAATACGGGTACTAAAGTTCGGAGCCTCGCACTTTACGGCATGGGTGGCGTTGGCAAGACGCAACTTGCCCTGGAATACGTGTATCGTTGCTACGGGACGGGATCGTTTCACAGTGTGTTCTGGATTTATGCCGACAGCGCCGCAAGTGTAGCAGCAGGAATCTCACAGATTGCGATTAGGCTCGGAATATCACAAGTCAGGCCCCAGGATGCAACAGATGATGTTGTCACGGCAAATCTTGTTAGGGGATGGCTTTCTAACCCCGCAAACTTCCTCAACAGAGAAGATACACAGCAGGTATCCAGCCCCAGTTGGCTAATCGTCTTTGACAATGTAGATCATTTTGATGACATGCATGATCCCGACAGGCTTGGACTCCTATGGCCACTCGATGGACCTGGCTGTTTGCTCGTCACGAGTCAAGACCCCTCTTTCGCGAGGAAGTCTGGTTTCTCTACCCAGAATTCCATGTTGATCGAGGGATTCAATAACGAAGAGTCTGGACGCATGCTAGAGCGTCTTACGAGACGAAGCAACGGTGGACGTGTGGTCGCTGAAAGGATTGGAGGTTTGCCGCTTGCCATCGCGCAGATTGCGGCACTCATCCATCAGAACAACTGGACATTCGAAGAATTTGTGCAAGCCCTGGACACTCCGCGGAACAAAGATCCAGAGGACGAGACCGCCTCACTATCGTATGTGTTTGACCTAGTCCTGTCACGACTACAGTACGCCAAATCACTTTTGGACGTCCTCTCTCTGCTCGACCCAGATGGTATTCCAGAGGCTATGTTAAAACAATACTCGATAGTGGCAATTGAGGGATATCCGACATCAGACACAGCATATGCCAAAGCACGGCGCGAACTTATTCGATCTTCGCTAATCCAGAGAGATAACTCATTGAGGAATGTGATGATTCACAGATTGGTCACAGCTTATACCCAATCCAAGATGAGCGATGCGCGGTATAGAGAGGTGTTCAGCGCTGCAACTCGCCTGCTTGCGCAGATATGGCCTTTCGAGACCTTGGGATGGCGTGGCGACATCTTGAGATGGCGCAAATGCGAGCAGCTGTTGCCACATATACTGAACCTGAAAAGAAACGAACCTCGGGTTATTGACAGCGCCAAAGACGATCTCAGTTATTGCATGCTCATCAATAACGCTGGGCTGTAAGCTAATCGTCCAAATGTGTAGGACCAGGCTGACAACTTACCCTCAGATACTACTGCGAGATTGGGCAGTTCGCTGAATCGCAAATCTTTACAAAACACGCTCAGTCGATTGCGGAAGCTATAAGAACGAATCTGAAGGAATCTAGCGTCGGCACTGAAATCTCAGTGAGTCTATGCGATGCGGTACTCGCAGAAACGTTCCACAATCTTGGACGTATAAGCGCAGAGACAAATCAGCCTGACGCTACCCTTGCCAATTTCAGCAGGTACAACGCCATGTTGCTTGACCAGCCTAATGGAGGTATGCAGATGAATGCGAACCGTCTTGCCGTATCTTGGTTTGAACTAGGAAACGCCTTCATGATCAACCAGTTGTGGGCGGAAGGAGAACGTTGTTTCGATCGTGGCATGAGCATCGCGCGGCGAATTGAGAACTTCGCACCATGGCATTTTTCACAGTACTATATCGTCCTTGGTCTGGTCTATTGTCTCACAGATCGTATTGACCAGGCCACGAAGGTACTTGAGGAAGGCCTGCAACACCGAGAGAGTGTGAGAAGACAGGATACTGACAGATCGTTTGTGTAAGTTACTTCTCAAAGCACGAAGGCAGACTACTAAGACTGCACAGATCTGGTCTTTTCTGGTACGCGCTTGGTAATGTTACAGCATCACAGGGCACCTTCGGTCAAAGCCTTGATTATCATGAGAAGGCGCTCCGTCAATTCTCAAGGACCATCGGGGCAGATCATCATCATACTGGGGACGTTCACGTCAGGATCGCGGAACACTACTTCAGGTTGAAGGATTTCACTGTAGCAAAGTAAGTGTGGCCTTTCGTCGCTGTATAGTGATGGTAGCATGCTAAACATAAAGTGTGCACATTGACGAAGCGCTTCGTATCTTTGAAAAGAGCGAATCCTTCCATCCTGAGCTTGCAAGAGCAGTCTTCTGGAAGAGCAGAATCTCGAAAGCTCAAGGGTTCTCTGTTAAAGCAGAGGAGATGCGTAGCAGGAGCAAAAGTTTGTACAGAGAAGTGCTACGTGCGCCGTTGTCAGGGGACTGTGATTCCTCTCAGGCTGACTTTGACGGATTGGTCACCTTTTGGTCACGTTAAATGTACCTAACGATATAACAAACGGGGTAGTCAGTGTAGCGACACTGCGTTGGATTTAAACTGCACACGTCGCCTGAATTTTGCATCCCTGGCCAGAGGGAGGGGTTATGTTCTCTGAGGAGATGTTACAATCTCGATATTCGGGCGAAATTGAAACTTGAAAGCGGCTTAGCGGGAGCCCCTGATGTGTTTCCACGGCCAATGGGTACGTGCGCGTCAGCCATTAGGCTCCAGGCTGCCGCTAGGCGGGTTGCGTCCTTCAGGTGCGCGGCGGTTGCGGGGCACAGCGACGCCCCCGGTAAATTCTAAGCCCGTCCACATCGTAATCGAACGTATATACTTTGTGCCCGAGTGCTGTAGTGGTATTGTCACTATAATTTTCTGATCTTCAGTGGGGAACTTTTGCGCTACTATGACAACAGCGACTCTTGAACCACCTGCTCCTTCTGCCAAAGAAGATCAGCCCGCATCTATCAGTTCCAGTCCAGCTCGTCGATGTAGGCTTCTCTGTCCAGTTTCTCACCTGATCGTAGTTGCTGATATGTACATGAATTTCAGGGACGCCCGAGCATTATACTTCTTCAATCTCAGACTACGCGAAACAGCGGCACTTCTCGCTCTTCGCTGGTGTTCATCTTACACGAATCGCCGATTACCTCCGCAAACCTTTCGATTACACCACAGGACAATCGCCCGTCTACAACTACAAGTGCGTGTCTGACTTTGCAACACTATTCAAATGCTCCAAAGACGGTTCGATAGCATACCATGCGCCCACGACTCCTATTGAACTACTACATCATTCGAGATCCGAGACAAGTAACATCCTCTTTTTACGAGGCCAACCGTGTGCACAATGGCTTGTTCGGGCAGGCACTGCGTACCATGTTGATCCAGAGCTTTTCTTTCGTCACTTAGACTTTATCTCCGACATGCCAGGTAAACAATACTTCTCAACGCCTTCGCTCATGTCAACCACAACAAACGTCATTCAGCTTAGATACATGACAGTCGGAGAATTTCCTCCACAGCACGACCATACGAATCAAGACAGTTTAAGCAGCATGAGAGACTCGGCAGTGAAACAGCTATCCGAATATCACAACAATCTGGGAAAAGTCATCGCGCGGAATTTGTCTGCTGCTGAATCCATGGTTCGAGATTATTACATTCTCGACAAGAAACACTTTGCAATAGAGCAACAAGCATCGATCTCTCTGGGTCGCACACGAAAGGGCTGGACAGGTGAGTTTTGACTGCCTTTCTTCTCTTTCCCATCTGACAGCGGCAGTCCTGATTTGGCTCGATACTGGCAGACCTCTGTCTCCAGACCAGCCTGGCCCTTGGAGATCCACGCTGGAAAAGAATCGAATCGCGGGCAGGGAAACGTTTTTACCATGGATTCAGTCGCGACCTTTCGCGGCTTTGCATCCATTCAGCATGTCCATTGCACAGGATCGTCGGCCATTGCACGCGCCGGAACAATCAGCATCTCTCATTCACCTCGACTATGGAAAAACCTTGGATGGACCTACCGTATGCCAAGATCCATTCTATGCACTTCACGAACTATTCATGATATGCGCACAGTCAGAAGTACAGTTTCTGAATGCTGTGGAGTCCAAAATTGATAGTGACATGGCACGCGAGTTCATGCCAGATCACAATATCCCCCCAGAAAATATGATATATTTCCAGGGTCTTCTGGACAAACACGCAGAAAGCATACGGCGTACAATTGCATCTATCAAGTCACGCCAGTTGGCCGGATGGCCGCATCCCACGAGCGATCTCATTGGAAACAAGACTGAATTCGCTGCTCAGACTTTGATACAGGATTACGAGTCCCTCCTCCGCCGTACTGAAACTCTTCTGAATCTCTGTAAAGGCCGTCTCCAGATACTCTATTCACGTGCAGGCATTGTTGAATCCAACAAAGCTATTGAGCAAGCCAAAGTAGTCACTAGACTAACTCGCCTGGCTTTCGTTTTCATACCTTTAAGCTTTGTATCAAGCTTCTTTGGCATGAATCTCACTCCACTAGTAGAAAAGCCGGCACTCAACCTATGGGTATTTTTCGCCGTCAGTGCACCTTTGATCACGCTATTGTTCGTGTCGATGACCTATAGCGCAGAGCAGTTGGGGCAGATCGTTGCGCTCTGTAAGAGAAGATTGAAGCCAAGGTCGAAAACGATTTAAAATTCCCAGCCTCGTGCGGGGTCAGGCTGAGGGGAGTACATGCAGGCATCATCACAGCCTTTGCTTCTCCCAGAACCAAAAAGAGAAATGGAAACGCTCTGCATTCATCAACACGACGACTAACCGGTCTTCTCTATGTGCCCACGCATTAGTTGGATCGCGGCGTCGCGTTGCGTTATCGCCACATCCGCCCTTTTCGCAGCATCCTTCCACCAGGCCGCCTCACGTTGCCGCTCACCCGCCACCGTCTCCCACGAGATCACCTCAATTCTCCGTTGCTCTTCCATCCTGCCGAGCTACCTCTGGTCCTCCTTGGCCACCCTTCCCACGGTCACTCTCCTCCAGGTGCTCGGACCTGTTGGCCGAGTTCCCATGGTTTTGCTTCAGCTACTCAAGCTCCGAAACAACTCCCCCGTTGCCGTCTTTATCATGGTACTTTTCCAACAGGTCGTTGTACCTGCCGGTCGAGTCCGCATGGTTTTGCTTCAGCTGTTCAGGCTCTGAAACAAACCCTCCTTTGCCGTCTCCCCCGTCATGCATCTCTTCCAGCTCGTTGAGGTTCTTCTCGAGAGCTTCGTACTTGAACACCAGCCCCCTTTTCCCATCCTCTCCTTCATGCTCGGCTTTGAGGTTCTTGAACCTTAAAGCCAACTCGTCATATCTCTGCTCCATGGTTTCCGCTGGCTGCAGTCCATACTTCTCCCTCTCTCCCTTCAGCTCTGCTGCCAGCTCATTCAACCTGTGGACTTGCGCATCGCCTTCGACAAGTAGCTTGCGGAACGCCTCGGCATCGCTTGCTCCGTATTCATCTAGAAATTGACGTATTCCTCGTGCCGCGAGGAACTCTCGCTTCCTTCGCAATAAGTCCAGCTTTGCACGCGCAGCAGCCATTTTGTCCTGCATCTCGAAATCGAACGTTTTCGTCTCCATCGCACGAAACACCCACAGTTGGTCGCCTTTCACCATGGCGCGGGGTGGTGTGGTGTGCTGCTGCCGCCCATCATCACCGAATGGGGTCGTCACTTCGGGTTTGAATTCGGCCCTCATGATCGAGCTGAAGCCTTGCTGGCGTGCTCCAGGCGGCGGTATCGGCGTCGCAACTTCTCCACCATCTGCTCTCTCCATATCCTCATCCGCACATGCATCTGCCACCGAATCCCTACATATTGTTAGCAAGAAACAGGAAGGAGCGAAGGTACTCACGCATCACCATCATCCTCCATCGATCTCGTTTGCCTTGTTGCTTCACGCAACGTATCCTTAAAGGCGTTCGGATTTGCCATGGTGTAGTTGAGATGGTGAGGTGTGCTGGGGAGAAGTCTAGTCGCACCTGCCGTATGGAAGGCGCTACGCCCGATTCGCTCCACGACGTGACGTACCCATCAACATCACACCATGGGTCAACGAATCACACAACCAGCCGAGGGATAACCACTAAGGAAGAGTAACTTCGGATCTTCACGTTTTTTGGTAGCTGTCTTGATCGGATCATAGTCTTCTGGATTAAACTCCGAAGAAAGTTGGAGGCTATAAGCCATGGCATGTGTGTACAACCAAGCAAAGCGAGCGCCGTTTGTGTAACTTCCAGGGTGCCATTGCGAAGGAGGTTCGGATAGGTAATCACGGAAATCTTATTCAGATGCGGTGCATTGAACAAGGGATCCTGACGGGCATCTTCGAGGTGCTTTCTACAATAAGATTCGTATGGGTGCTTCAAGACTACATAAGCAAAAAGGTGCGCTTGTTGAACAGTAAGTACTTACCTACTGTGTTGGAAGGCACGGAGCTTGACATGGCTAGCGCTAGAGTGGGGTTGTTGTAGAATGTAAGTACTACTGAATGTAAGTAGAAAGCGTTCAGCGCTACAATGTCAAAACATAGCCGGTATTGAGAGCGCCATAGAGTGCACAGCGCCATGTAAAACTGACGGGAGATATGTTGATGTAGTGCAATGAGGCCTAACATTCAGCAGTACTCACCGGAAAGTCATCGCAAGGCAGGGCAGGTGCAATCAACCCCATTGGCGGTATCAGTGGCGGCAGGCGTCACAGCCATGGCAAATGGCAGTCTCGCTAACACGGGGAGCTCCTGACGACCAGCGCATCAGCCCATACGCCAGTAGGTATGCAATGCACCTGTTTCTAGAATCTTCATTTCGAGGACATGCATGTGGCTTCACCGGAAATTGTGCGCAACGTTGGCGGAAGCTTGTGCGTAGAGGAGGGGAGGTCGACGCGTCGTGGCAACGAGTGTGTTCGTCATTCGTACCGTGGCACTGAATTGCGCGTTAGTAATGATTGTGCTCTGCGCTGATAACGCGTAGACATACCGTTCGCGCCCTCCGCTGTGTGGGCTTCCTGCTCGATAGTTGAGGATCATGGCCATGACATCAACAGCTGTAATTTCAAAGGAATGCGACGAAACTATAGATTACAAAGCCACGATGTTATAAATTACGTGCCTTCGAAAACGCTTGTGAGGTCATATCAGAGAAGACGCGCAACACCTCCCCAGCAATGATCCGGAATCATGACCTCGGAAGCCGCAGAGCGCGTGGTGCGCGCCAGTCCAAATCGCGCTTAGCCCAAGCACCCAGCGAGCTCTGACCTCGGGCAACATGATGGCAGCCACCCAGCCACCCAGAATTCCACACATGACGCACATGAAGCCGTCTCTATCGGCATCGTCGTCGCTCGCATCTCATACAGCAAATTTCGATCTCGCTCTCAGCCTTGCACCATAGACCCAGATCAGATACATTCCAATCTATCTCGAGTTAGCGCGCATTCACGGACTTGCTTGATCTTATCAAACTCACAATACCCATGACACTCAAGCCACCCAAAAGGCTAATGCCCTTCCCTATTCCCAGTTTGAGATACATGGGACGGGAGAAGAGTACGGATCCGAAAGCGAAGGCGGAGCGACAGAAGTCGTTGCCCGCAAATAGAGACGCGGCGTATTGCGGGTAAGACATGGGCACGTAGGCTGCAGAAACGTTAGCGATATCAACAGTAACCACAGTAGAGGTATAGGCGATAACTTACAAAAGACAGCCTGGAAGATGATGTACACGCTAGTCGAATATATAGCGATACCGATAGTCGAAACAATCCAATGTACAGATTGACGAGCCGTCCAGCCTACACGTCTCGCCATTAGTACCCAACGTCTGAAGTCCAGTCGCAAAATCAGACTCACCGAAGATGAACAATCCAATCGGTACCCCAAAGCTCGCGAAAATCGCCGGCACGAGTCTATGCTCTTGAGGTCTCAGCCCTCTCTTGAGGATATCCGGTATGAGGTAGAACCTCAGATACGAGAAGTAGATCGTCATAGCAATGACGCATCCCACGATGATCGACAGAAAGACAATCGTCATCTCGCCGACGCTGAACCCGTATATCTCCAGATACACGAGAGGGAAGACCTCGAAGAAGGAGTAGTAGATGCCGTAGGTCAGCGCGGAGTAGACGTTGATGAAGAAGAGAGCAGGGTCTTTGACGCAGATCTCCAGAGGTTTGATGAGAGTATCGAGGAGTTCTGTGGAGAATTTGGTGCCTTTGCGATCGATCTCGGTTTGCGTATGGATATTCGGATTGCCGGTCAGTGCACGCAGACGGGCGGATCGGTAAAGAAGGATGGTGGTAGGCTGCGTTTCTGGGAGGAAGAAGAAAAAAAGGAGAAAGACTGGGGCGGCCATCCAGAGGAGTTCCCATTGAGACCTGAACACGGGTCTAGTCAGCATTGCGCACAGGGGAAGACTGATTCAATAAAGCAAAAAGACGTACCATCGCCAGTTCTCCGCATAGACGGAAAATCCAGATAGAAGAGGCCCGAGAGCTGGTCCAGCGAAAGCCGCGGCTGTCCAGAAAGCTAGACCGTATGGTATGTGTAGCAGAGAGTACAAGTCTTGCATCGTAGCACCACCGTTCGCTAGACAGGGGCTTCCGAAGAAGCCAAGCAGGAAACGGAGGAACAGGAAGCCGCCGAGATTGTCTACCAATGCGGTAGGCAAAGTGAGGATGGTGAAGAGCGCGAAAGTCGTGATGTACGGTATGTTTCTGCCGAGTTGCGGCACTGTCATGAACCGTCAGCAAAACCCCAGAATCATAGGATAGGCCATGATTTACCCTCACTCAACGGCGCAAACAACAAGGGACCAATCCCATATCCTATACACCGTCAGCTATCCATCCCATCCCATCATATATCTCAACGCAGATCAGCAACATACCTAGCACATAAAGCGCCAATCCCAAGCTCGCCTTAAACGCCCCCACCCCAAACTCACTCATGACCAACAACGTACTACTAACATAGATGGAGCTACCCGCGTACACAATGAACGTATACAGACAGATCAAGAACGCCGTCCATGCCTTCTTGCCCTGCGACCAGTTCTGCGGGTTCGCAGTGTCGGTCGTGGTGTACCACTCTGCCAGTATGAGGCCGTCGGCTGTCTTGACGGGGGCGATGGCGTGGCTGTTCGATTCGGTGGCGTGGAGGGCTAGGTCGGCTTCGAGGCGTGAGGGGCTGAATGGCAGGGTGTGCGATGGCAGCGGGGTGGTTGAGGTTGAGTTGCGTGTCGAAGTCCCTTCAACTCCTGCGGTATGGGAGGGAAGTTTCTCGACGTCGGTGTATGCAGATGGTATTTCGAAATCGGGTAGCTCTTCTGGATACTTGAAGAACCCGTTATGCGTTGCGTAACGGACGAGTTGGCCAAAAGGCGCGTCGCGGACGATCTCCTTGATCGTCTCCATGGCCTCTAGGTACGCAAACGAGATGTCGCAAAAGTCGATACTATCAAAAAGGCTACTCGAACTTTTCCGGTGTAACACCTCCTTTATACCAACAAACCTTACCATCTATTCTAATCATCAAGCGGCTCTGCTCTCCTCCTCCCATCCAGCCAACGCACCGGAAAGCCATCTCCTCCCCAACGACAAATCAACACTACAGTCAGCAAAAGCCATTAGACATCAACTGAGCGAATACTCATACACCAGATCGCGTTGCATGACAAAACGCTGATAAGACGCCGGACAAGGCAAGTAAGACCCGAACGCGGCGGAACGACAGCCACGTGATTGGTACCGCAGCGAAAGCCACAAAGCCCAACGGCGTAATTTGCACTTTTTGCTGACCGATCAGAATATTGTTGATGCAACGCGGTAGCGCGACTGGCTTAATAGCACGCGTTCAGCCTTTGCTTCTGTTTACTGATCGGTGGCCTTCGTCGACGTGGTGGTGCGTTTTGTCAGATCCGCCAAGATCCGATATTCGAATGTGGCTGACATGTACATGCTGACGAGCACCGCTTACCCAAGTCACCTTATACAATGGGAAAACCGGACACCTTGGGGTCTACGTTGATCTTGGACCGCTTACTTTGTATGTTTTTATCTTGATGTAGGCTCCAGCCTGATTAGTGGTACACGTCAACTAAGCAAAAGCTGGACAGGCCTGCAGCCTACATCAACACAAAGACCTACAAAATAGGGGACCTGGTGTTGATGTAGGCTCTAGACCTGTTTAGTTTTTTTCTTGTGTGAGGTAGGTACGTCAACGTGTCCATTATAATTATATGCACACTAAGAGCAGGTAACCACCCATAGGCCCTGTCTGGTATACGCCGACAATGAAACAGAAAGGAAATAATGCCTCGCTCATGCAAAACCGTCTTGATCACATGCTTTTTGTTCTCCAACTCCGTCTAAATTTGACTCTCCCCTCTCGTCCCAAGACCCCTCGACCGTACGGCGGAGCTACGACCTTCTATCCGGCAGCTGATGTAGGTATTGACTCGTATGCAGTCTTTGCTGTAAAGGTCAAGGTTTCTAGCTCGCCACTGGTTTCACACATGGAGCGGAATGAACCGCCATCTTTCCGGACAAGATCGTAGGGATGGCCGTACTCGATGACCTCGCCCTTATCCAGAACAAGGACCTTGTCGTAGTCAATGATCGTTTGGAGACGATGCGCTATCGTGATGGTGGTGTTCTTGATCTGACGAATGGTTTCTTGGATCTTCGCATCGGTGGCGTAGTCGATGGACGCTGTGGCTTCGTCCATCAGCAGAACTTTGGGTGCTTTCAGTAGCGCTCGCGCTAAGCACAAGAGCTGTCGTTGACCTTGCGACAGGTTGGACCCGGATTCCGACACCAGCGAATTGAGGTTCTTGAATGGGTTCTTGTTGTCGGCCTC